TTATGAGCATTTAACTCCTAATCAAAAGAACATCGCTAATGACATCATCCAACGCTTCAAGACAATTTCTTTTGAAGAAAAAGGTATCCTGGGATGCACACACTTAATCACCCACAAGATTGACACTGGTGATTCTCTCCCAATCAAACAAAGATGTTACAGACTGTCTCCTGAAAAACAAAAGGCGTTAATTAATGAAGTTGACAAGATGCTGCGATGGAACGTCATTGAACAATTCGAAAGTCCTTGGTTATCCCCAGTTCTCATCACTCCGAAGAAGAATGGTGAATGGCGTTTCTGCGTAGACAGCAGGAAGCTTAACTCAGTTACACGTCGTGATGCTTATAGTCTGCCACTAATAAGCGAAATTTTGGACAACTTGAGGAATGCCAAATACTTATCAAGCATCGACATTGCGAAAGCATTTTGGGAGATTCCCTTGAATCCTGCTGATAAGGATAAAACTGCATTTTATGTACCTGGAAGAGGTATGTTTAGATTCAAGGTAATGCCTTTTGGTCTTTCTAACTCACCTGCAACTCTACAAAGATTAATGGATATGCTTTTTACCCCTGAATTTGAGAACAAGGTATTTTGCTATCTGGACGACATCGTTATCATTAGCGAGACTTTTGATGAACACATATCACTCCTCATGAAAGTCCATGAAAAACTTTCATATGCTAATCTGACTATTAACTTTGAGAAGAGTCAATTCTTCAGGAAAGAACTGAAATACCTTGGTTTTCTAGTGGACGAGTACGGTCTACGTGCTGATCCAGATAAAATAAAAGCTATATTAGAATATCCTGTACCTACTTGTAGAAAAGAAGTGCGAAGATTCATAGGCACCTGCAGCTGGTTCAGAAGATTCATTCCAAACTTTAGCACTATTGCCTCTCCACTCAATCAACTAACCTGTTCCGGGAAGAACGCTCATAAATTTCTTTGGAATTCTCAAGCTGCAGCTGCTTTCCAGAAACTTAAAGAAGCTTTGGTAACTGCTCCTGTCCTTGCTTGTCCTAACTTCGAACTACCCTTCTCTGTACATTGTGATGCATCAAACTATGGCATAGGAGCAATGCTTACTCAACATCAAGATGACAAAGAAGTCGTGATTGCTTACATGAGTAAAGCACTAAACAAAAATCAACAGAACTACTCAACTACTGAAAGAGAAACATTGGCTGTAATAACTGCGTTAGAACATTGGCGATGTTACCTAGACAATGGTAAAGAATTTACAATATATACTGACCATGCTGCACTTAAATGGTTTCAGAACTTATCGAATCCATCAGGAAGACTTGCTCGCTGGACTTTACGCTTATCTTGCTTTAACTTTGTCCTGAAACATAAAAAAGGAAAGGATAACGTTGTTCCAGATTTATTATCAAGACATAAGAATCAAGAACGTCCTGATACACGAGAAATTTCACCTCAAGGCGTACACCCTATTACGATTGAAGAACCACCTGATCGTAAACTTGAACACTACAACAAGATTTTTCTCGGATGCTCCAACAACCCAGACTCATATCCCAACTATACTATCAGGGATAACAAACTTTACCGCTGCATCCATTCTCCCGATCGTCTAAACGATGACTTTATTTGGAAAGAAGTTCCACTACCTCAAGATAGACATGCAATTATTGAAGTTAACCATGGTTCCCCTTCAGAACTCCATCTTGGTATCTTCAAGACATTCAAGAAAATATCTTTAAAATACTATTGGCCTGGTATGTTTAAGGATATTGCCAATTTAATCTCAACTTGTGAAACCTGCTTAACCTACAAACACCCTAATCATTCTCCCTATGGTCTTATGGGTAAACCTAAACTTTGCTCCAGACCTTTTCAAACTATATCCTTAGATCTTATGGGTCCATTGCCTATGACTCGAAGACGAAATCAGTATATTCTAGTAATTAACTGCAATTTTACTAAATTTACTATGATTTTTCCCCTTAAACGTGCTACTTCAGCTAATATTATTAATGTTTTGGAAAATTCAGTTTTTCTAGTTCATGGCATTCCCCAAACTATTATAATGGACAATGCTGTTCAATTTCAGTCGCGAGAATTCCACTCATTCTTAAATTCTTATAACGTTCCTTTTATTTTTCACACAGCTTTATATTGTCCTCAGGTTAATCCTACGGAGAAGTTTAATAGTACAATTATTACAGCTCTAGCATCTCTAGTAGGAGACGATCATAGATCATGGGACAACCATCTTACTAAAATTCAATACGCAATGAACAGCGCTACAAATGTAGCTACTGGCTTTACTCCAAACTTTTTAGTCTTTGGTAGGGAAACAATACCTTGTGGTTCCTTCTATACTCCAACTCAGAACCTCGAGGAATTAATATTTATGCCTCGTGATATTTACGCGTCTAATGCTGGTCTCCTCTCATCTATCTTTCACAAAGTTCAAACTAAACTTCACATAGCGCACGCTAAAAATAGCGCTCGCTATGATCTTCGCCGGACTTTTAAAGAATTTAATGTGGGAGATACTGTTTGGCGTAAAAATCATGTTTTAAGCAATGCCGGCGCATACTTTAATGCTAAACTTGCCCCTAAGTTCATCAAGTGCAAAGTGATAGCTAAACTGTCACCACTAGTCTATGTACTTGAAGACCCTAATGGAGTTAGAGGCAAGTGGCACATCAAAGATGTAAAATCATAAATTTTCTTAACTTTTATTAACTATTAATTTGTATATATGTATAAATATCACCATCATTCTCACCTTATTATTTTTATTTCTTTTAATTTGTTTGTTTGTTTGATGATCCAGTGTTCTTCAACACATCTTGCTTTAGGACCTCGAACTTTCGTTGGTTAATCGTCACTTTTTATTTTTATTTCAGACACATCTCGTTGGTGATGTTGCTGTTCTCTGGCTCTGAGCCCTACCGCTCTGGCCGTTCTTAATCTTTACTTAAGTCATAGCGACTAAAGCTTACTTGAGGTATTTCTTTATCTTTATCTTCACTTGGGAGCGGCTGATTACTCCCTTAATAATTTTTTTTATCTTCACGCAGGAGCGGATGACAACTCCTTAAATAAGCCTGAATGTCCTTTCGAAAACACACTTTTAAGAGTGGTGTTTCTTCGACTAATTTATTTTTTTCTTCCACGCAGGAGCGGATGACTACTCCTTAAATAAGCCTTAATGTCGTTTCGAAAACACACTTTTAGAGTGGTAGTCATTGAATGTGAACTCCACCCTTACCTGAACGGCAGATGATGAATGTAAGAGATGGTATATTTGATTTTGCCTGGTGATGTCTGTTTCTGCAAAGCTGTGTTTTTATGGTTTATTTTAGAATGTATATATCAAAATTTTTGCTGAGTCAAAAATTTTCCAGGGTCGGGGGGAAAATGTAGTGTTATGCTACTCACGTATCATTTTACATTATTTTAAATTCATTTTTCCATTCTGTTTCGATTTTCTGCATTCACCTCAAAACTGGATATTTTACATCACCTTTATTTCCATAGGATCCTGTAACGATTTTAAACCATAAGAACACAATAACAAATCATTTCTACTTCGTATTTTCACATTATCAGCACTTTTAAATTGGTGTCAATGGAGTCTACCTTTTTTCGATCTTTTAGCTAGTTTTCCGTAACTCTACAATCTTGGACTTTGTGTGGGCAGTTGCGCTACCTTTTTTCCTATATCAATAATATCTCATTTTCCACTTAAATCTTACCGTTTTCTTATTATAAACCAAAAACAAAAATTTGACATATTTTGTCTTTCATATTTATATCGTTTCCATGGTAATTATATTCAAATTTGCTACCGATCTGTTATTCCTATTTCGATAATTCCACATAAATCCTCTTTTCTCTTGACCATTTACAAAAAATTTGCGTATAATTTAAATAATTTTTCCGTTCTCTCTAGAAAGGTATAAAAGCCGAACAATCGGTGAAGAAAGGCAGTCTCGCTTCAGTTCGCGAATTGGAAGTATCTCCTAAAGGCCTTATCCCGGGGCCGCACTGCCCCGGGATCCTGCAAGCCTCCATTTACACGTGAAGTCTTCGGCGAAGCCTTCTTCAAACTCGGGCCGCGCCACTCCGGAATCCTACAAGCCTCCATCTACCTCGGAAGTCGCTTCGAGTCTACTACAAGCGCGGGGGCCACACTACTCCGGGCACTACTACTACTCACTCCAGGCGCCGAGTGCACCTACTGCCGGCGCTACCTTTGGGCGCTGCAACTGCTGGCTCTAAGCGTTGCGCGCCCCTTCTCCAGGCGCTACGTGCGCCGGCTCCGGACGCTGCGTGTACTGGCTCCAGGCGCTGCGCGCCGTCGCTGCTAAGAAACCTACTTCTACAAGCGCAAACGGCGTGTGCTGGCTTCAGGCGCTGCGTGCCGTCGCTGCTAAGAAACCTACTTCTACAAACGCAACGTGTGTCGCTTCGACTTTTAGGCCCCACTTCAACGCTATATTCCCCTATTCTCTCACCTTTATTTTTTTTTATAATCTAATTGTATCACTTCATTCATCATCATCCTCACATCATTTTTTTTATAAAATTGTAAATACCTTTTATAAATTTAAATATATTGTTTCCTGGCTCTACTTTTGTTGTTTTGTTGCACTTAGGTTAGGTTCTATTTTATTTTATTTTTTTTTTTTAATTGTCGCTTCACGACAAAGCTGGTTTCTTTTATACTGGCCATGCAGACGGGACCAAGTGTTTCCATTGTGGTGGTGGTTTAAAAGATTGGGAAGATGATGATGATCCTTGGCAGCAGCATGTTCAGTGGTTTAGTCAGTGTGCTTATGTAAAATTTCAACTCGAACAGTGTTTTGTATTAGATTAAATAGAAGATTTATAAAGAAATAAAAAAAATATATTGCATACAATTTGTTTTATTTAATTTTATAACGTTTCACATAGTTACATACACACAAAATTCATTACACATAACACATAAAATCTAACACACAACACATATTATAACCTTAACTACTATAGTCTACAGTAACATTTCTGTTTTTATCTATCTCAATAATATTATCAAACTCAGCATAAACTATACAGTTAATTGTTTGTATTAATGAGGATTCAAATCGTACTTCTATTCTTACACTACCATGCTTTATGAGATTCCAATGAGTTGATGAGTTAGCTGATAAATCAGGAGTTAAGTCAAATGCTAATAGACAGTAACCTTTGCCATACTGTTCACAAGAGATTTCATTTCCTTCATTAAGAAAGTGAATACCAGTTCCCGAGAATAGAGTATGATATGCTGATGTAAATATGCTATTATTAAAAGATGGTTGCAAAGCTTTTGAAGGTATTTGTTGACCATCAATATATAAGCTGAAAGAATTAATACCATAGTTTTCAAAGTTAAATGGATTTTTAGTAAGGGAACCATTAAATGCAGAATTGTTCACAAATCCAATTATACATCTTTTCGGTACCTGTCCTAAAAATATATTATCAAGAGTTTTTCCTTGAACACCTGAAGGAATTGTTAAAACTTTTACTTCAGCTCGAGTAATAGGATATTTAGCAGTGGTAGAAGCTAAAACTTTTTGATGTGCGAGTAATACACTTGGATTAATTCGTGCTCGTCGCACAATAAGAGTTGCGTCCGTAATGCAAACTTTAAACTTTACATCGTTCGACCCAACAATTAAATTAAAACTCTCTCTTGATCGAACCAATTTAACACTCATTTCAACACCATTAATTAAAAATTTATCTTGGTTAAAAATGTCACCGTGAAGATGACCAATCATTTCTATTTCCTTACTTTCACTAATCAATTCCTGTCTTTTAACAAATCCTATGTTTTTACCATCTGTAGAATCCATTTTTCCTGCTGTATCCTCATACCAAAGGCTACAAGTAAGATGAGATTGTTTAGCAGCAGGGGCATAGTTTAAAAGGGTTTCCATGTATGCTCGATATGCATAGGTATTATTAGGTGGTGATACAAGTTTTTGGTTTAAATAAACATCAAGTTGACTAAAAAGTGAATGCAGCCAATTATTTACAGGTGCTACTATTGTAGTAGATACCAAGTTAGTTGAATCTTGATTTAATACTTTTGCCTTTATGTGGAGTAATGTATGAGACAAATCTATGTAGTCATCGCCGGTCCCAGGAACTTGAAACTCGATAGGTCCATCATCACCAAGAGATGAAATTGGTTTATAATGAATCCACAATCCATTTTCAATGCTAGTTTGTGTAGACGGTAGTGCAAACAAATCCAATTCTGACTTAACGCACTCGCAAGAATGATTATGAAGGAAAGACATATTTAGTTTGAAAATATATCTTTGATATTTTTTGGTTTTAGACTAAGTTTTTTCGCAGCTTTCACTTTAGCAGTTAATGGTGGAATGAACGATGTCAATCGTTTTCTTTGAGTTTTATACCCAGATCCAGTCATGTTAAATTGATCAATTTTCTCATCAGCCTTTCGTTTTAAATTCGTACTAACTTGCTTTAGACGATCTTTTATTGAGGCTTCCATAGGACGGGCTTGAACCATATCCGATAAAAGTCCTACTCCAGCGCTTAATGCCTCCTTACCAATCACTCGAGCACCACTTGAAAGTAAAGGTAAAACTGATCTGAATAACCTCCCTAAGAAGCTCCCAATACCATGACCGCGTTGATATGGTGAACCCTTATAAATTACTCCAACTCCTGATCCAGCTTGATGTGTATAATAATTTTCATATGGACATTTATGATGATCACGAAGAGAATTCATTATTATAATTTTCGGAAATGTAGTTTAATACACACGGTTCCAAACTGGAATGGTATTTTTTGTCCTGTACTCGATCTTATAACTATTTCCAACGTATCGAACTCTCTTCGCATAACAGGTAAGTAGTGAGGTTGAGAGAAAACGTGCATTTTATTTGCACCATAAATGTATTTTGTAGGATCTAATGAAATGACTCTTAATAAAGGAGTCATAACATCACCCACAATCTGAGGATCGATAATGTCGCAATATAGAAATAGTTGAGATGGTAACCCTAAGTGTAAATTAGCAGGACACTTTCCAAAATTTCTCTCTAGGAGATTTTTATTTGGTTCATAACCTAGCTGTAAACTTAATTTGGGTGATAATGTTACGGATGTTATATTTTTATCCAATACCGAAATAGACACAAATTTTGTTATTTCATCATAGCGAAATTTCAAGTTCTCTCCGATACCATTTAACACTCTTAAAATATGCTCAACGTTATCATAGTTGGTAGCTGGAATATGTTTTTTGTAGTACACTGTGGATGGCTTATCTTCATTAGGCATTAACATAGATTTTGTAATGTATATAACATTTTCATGGTCTTGAACAGTAAACATGGTACATGGATATTGAAACTCGACAACTCCAACCGACCATTCACCTTCTAATTTTATAGCTTTTGGTAATTTCGTTGAAAAATTTGTGGTCTTGTTATCAGGAAAGTATTCCATTGAACTATTGCTGAGCAAAGTTAAATAGAAACTTTCTTTATTCATATTTCTTTTAAACTAGAAGCTAAAATCCAACTGTTAAATTTATCTGGATAACCTTTCCACTTCACTAATACTTCTTTTCTGTTACTTGAATAACGAGTGTCAATTATTTTATCTATTTTATGTTGTGAGGTGGGGTTGTAAGTGATTTTCTGTAATTCTCTTTCATAAAAAGTACCAATTATTGGTTCATTTTGTAAATCTGTTATTGTATAAACAACCCATGGAGATCTATCAATTATTGAAGATATAATAAATATTTCATCACTCCAATTTGATTCATATCCTTTTTGGAATACATGTTTATATTTAGTTATTCGAACATAATCACCCACATTGAAATTTGGTTTAGGATTTTCTAAAGAAAGTTTTTTTGACCGTCTATCATAAAGATTAGTCCAAACTGTCATAATATTGTTGGAATTTACATCACATGGGCACATCTTAATACTAGAGTGAAAGCTGTGATTATAAGAGTATATTAAATCTTGTAAAACATCTATATATCTATAAGTATTATTATGAGTGAAATAACGCCACATTTTCATTTTTAGTGTTCTTTGAAATCGTTCAACAATACTGGCCTTAATGTCAGGATTGTTAGTGGTATAGTAATTAATCTTTTTGGATTTAAAGTATTTTTGTACATCTTTTGAAACAAATTCTGTACCTTTATCGGATTGTATGTGAGTAGGTGTTAAATTACTTTCAGTAAATATACTTTCAAAACATTCTTTAGTTGTTTCTGAGTTTTTCTTTTTCATTGGTCTTGCAAAAGCATATTTACTAAATACATCAATAATACAAAGTATATACTTGAAACCATCATTATATTGAGAATAAGTTCGCATATCACTTAAATCAGCTTGCCACAGTTCATTAATATTTGATAGAATGTACCTATTACGCGGGAATTTTTTTCGAATGGGTTTATGTAATGTGTATGTTTCTTGTGATTTTAACCATTCCTTTACTTGCTTTTTATTCATTTTACCCTTCATGGCTTTTGATAATTTATCAATACTACCAAAACCAGCGGGATTAGATGGATCATAATAAATCCTGTTAATTTCTTCTAGTACGGAGTCCATTTTTCCCACTCAAGTCCTTTACGTATTTTAGTTGTAGACTTTTTATCTCTACTGCACGGTGTAGAAAACTCTTGAACTTCAATCTCAGAGGGTTTGTTCAGATCTTTTGCTTGAAGTTGGTTAATAAACTCACATCTCCTTGGATTTCCAATATAAGTAAGTGGTACTTTAATATCTTTTAATGCTTCAGCAAATCTAACCCACCCTACCGGATCACTTCTTTTTAGGGGTCTTAGTGAATCATTTATTAAATCAACAATATTACTTCCAGGAATTTTTTCACTATCAATTATGACTGTACCTTCGTTATCCCAATGTATTTTACTTTTACTTGTTTCAACTAAGTTTAATAATAACTGCCCTTTTTTATGATAAGTTTTTGGTATTAAACTGAGTATTTGAGCTGGTGTGTAAAGTGGATTTTCATCATTTTCTTTACTTTTAATGGATCGATTCTCCTCCAGCAAAGATTCAATATCAACTGAAGTTTTTAGATCTCTATCTTTATTTTTAAAACCAATTTTTGACTCATTTGAATCTTCATTAGATGTATCAGAATAAATTGGTAATTTGAGTGGTTGACGATCCTCTTCGGTAAAATGAAGGTATCTTTGCAGTGTTTGTAAATATAATATCTATTTCTTTCGGTCTTCCGTCTTACTATTCATAATATTTTGCATTTCAATATCTAATCGAGATAAATTACTATTAACCTTATTTTCTTGTTTTAATTTTTCAATCAATCCAGGTTCGATAAGTATCATTTTCTTTGCATTTTCCATGTTAACTGGCTAGTCCACTCACTAATCCACTCAATATTGCACCTAATATTGTTGGTAAGAAAGCCCCTCCTTTTTGTATAATTATATTTTTTCTTAGTTTATGTTTACACTTACGTACTAGTTTACGGAGTATGTTTTTATGTTTATTCAATTTTTGTTTATCCTGATCTTTAAGAGGTACTTTTCCTTGTAAAACGTTATGAATACACTCACAAATACAGTTAATTTCTTCTTCATCACACGTTTTAAGTAATGCTCTTTGATATTTTGGTTTAAGCGTATGCAAAGCGGTTAGCAAATGTTTATACGTTGTGAGTCGACGATGCATCATTTAGCAATGATTTCAATTGTTTGATTCTTGGTGTATTTAAACTCTTTTGTGGGGACGTAGACTGTACAGAAACCATTAAATGGAAAGACATTTGTCTTGATACGACAAAAATCATTGGTATTCTGTTTTAAATCTACCATTAAATATCCATGCGCCTCTAGAGTTGCATCCCTGTAGGCATTTTCAATGAATTTTGGGTTATCTGGTGATACTTGTCTTGCTAAATATCTTATTTGAGTTTTATCTCGAGGGTTTTTAAAATATATTATATAACTTGAGTTTAAAGATATGTCTCTTTGTCCTTTACCCTGATGAAATAAATTTTGTGTTAGATAAAATACACTAAGATTCCTGTGATGACTACCTTTTGTAAATATATCCACAATTCTTCCATCGGACTCTCTCATTAGATCATCAATAATAACAAGATGTGGGTTTTCACCATCAAACATATTAAGATTTGGAATTCCTTGATGATAGTTAACATTTGGTAAATTATATAATGGTTGCATTTCATCAAAGCACCATGTCATCTGATTAAAATCACAATTACATATTTCTGTAACTGATTTTATGAAATTTGTTACAAAATTTGACTTCCCACACCCACTTGGTCCTGCCACAATAGCAGTGAACGGATGGATAAAGTGAAACATAACACACGTCTAAAGTTCAAAGGGGTGAAATAAAAAATGAAAGTGTTGGTGTAAACAATTAATATATATTCCAAAAATTATATAAAACAGAATTATCTGTATACTATTTCTAACACAATTAGTACATCATAATTTTACAATTAACTCAACCTCAAATAAATAGAAACAACAATTAGTACATCATAATTTTACAATTAACTCAACCTCAAATAAATAGAAACAACAATTAGTACATCATAATTTTACAATTAACTCAACCTCAAATAAATAGAAACAACAATTAACTTAAATTATTTACAATAAAACAATGTTTAAATATGTAATAAACTACGTCATATTATAGTATTATCATAATTTTACAATCAATATAAATTTTTCTTAAACGCAGACATAAAAGTAAAAACTATCAACACTTAATGCAGTTTATAATGACCCCAAGCTAATGTTTCAATATTATTATCTAAAATATGTCTCTTTGTGTCATTATATGATAAACCTATCTTATTTAATTTTTGTGTGAAAATTGTGTGTTTAATTGATTTAAATCTAAGCATGCTATAATATTGCACTTTTTTATTAAATAGAGAAGACTTATAACTATTCATTGTCATCTTTTTAGTGATACATTTATTTACCCCTTTTGCCTTGGCTATAGTCTTATTCTCTAAGTTAAAAGCGTACATTTTGGATCGTAAACCCACAAATTCTTTCATGATTTTACCATTATTTTCATTTTTAAAAAAACCTAATTTCTTTTTATTTAATTTTGGATATTCAAAAATATTATTTGTATCATAATCTGAGGTATCAAAGTATGATGAAAGGTCAGGTTTTATATCAGTGTAAAAATCATTTGTAAATATATGATATATTAAACTATCCGTATCTGTATACAATAATTTGATTTTACTAAAC